GACTGGTTGTTGGCCAGGAATCATAAGGGGCTTCATTAGAGAGGTGAGCTTACACTGGAGGAGTGTGATTTCAGTGGGTTTGTCAGATTTGTGGATGGGTTCCAGGAGAGACATTATCACAAGTAAGATCTAGGATCAAGACCTTGTGGATTGAGGTATCCCAGACCAGAAAGCTAAATAGTATATGTATTTACTTACATGTGGATATTAGCTGTTAAGTCATTGATGATCAAGCTACAATCTCTAGAACCACCAAAGTTAAGTATAGAGTACGGGACTAAAGGGCACAGATAGGAAAAGGAATCAGAATAGATAGTTATGGATTTGTGGAGGGGTGGTAAAGGTAGAACAGGTGCAAAGTGGAGGGGGAGAGTGGGATGAGGGAAGAGAATACAGGAAGTGACTGCTAAATTAAAGGCAATTGAAGGGTACTATAAAAACCTTATAGAGTAGAAGCTTCCTAAAATATATACATATACAAATGCAATCTAAAGCAAATTGCCAAATAACGGGAGAGAGTCCCAGTTGGCCATCTTTTATCACCAAATGAAATTTCCAGTACTGAGCTTGGGTTACATCTAATTGAGTTGTTGGCCAAAATGGGCCCATAGGAACCTTGAAACAACCAAGGCTGTTTCTAAGACTATCTACAAACTGATGGCAATTCCCCATTGCTAAAGACAACTTTACAACTAATTCAGAGAGTGCATACATAGAGCCTTCACCCCTGTGTTCTAGCCTCTTTGGTGCAGGAAGATACTGTGCATACTACCAAAAGAGTAATGTAAACAGCAGACCAGATGCAAAACCTGTGGTCTACAATGGTGTACTGTCTGCAAGATATGCTGTCTTTGTGGTACAAAGCTGTGAGAGTAAACCAAATAATATCTCTTAGGGAGAGATGGAGCCCATGCCTGACACTGCCTGAGGGACCAAGAACCATTGACCAGATTGACTAGTAATCGAGGATAAAACCGAATTCTACTGTATAAAAAAGGTAACAATAAAATGATGCCTAATAACTTTCTGATCTATACTTATAGATGAATGTTTTGCTCAGTCATCATCAGAAAGCAGATGGGAACAAATACTGAGACTCACAGCCAGACAATATATAGAGAATGAGAGACCTTGGAACAGCCAGCCCTAAGTGAAATCTCTCCATAAAATCGCTCCCCTAAGGATTCAGGCATTCTTGTAAAGTTGAGTCAGAAAAGGCAAGATCCAGAGGGCATGGAGGACACCAAGAAGTCAGGACCCTCTATGTCAACATGACTACAGCTCATACGAACTCAGAGAATGAGGCAGTATGTACAGGTCTGCACAAGGTCCTTGGCATTTATATTACAACTTTTAATTTGGTGTTTTTATGGTATTTCCAAGTGTGTGAAAGTGTGGGTCACTCATTCTTGTGCCTTTCTTGGACTCTTTGCCTTTCATTTGTTTGTCTTGTCCAACTTTGATGTGTTAGTCTTGGTTTCGTGTTACTGTACTTTAGTAGTATTCCTTAGAAGCCTGTTTCTTGTTTTTCTAAGAGGAGGCAGAAATTGAGTGGATCTGGATGACAGGGAAGATGGAGAGCAAATGGGAGGAATGGAGGAAGAGAAAATCATAGTCAGGATATATTATGTGAAAAAAAAATCTATTTTCAATAGAAGGAAAAAATAAAAATAAGTAAAAATAGTTAAAAAAAACCCCTGCGATTTCTCCAGTGAGAATCAATGAAGATCTCATCTATATGTATTTCAATATAGATGCAAGTAACTTATTACTTATGGATCTGGGGAACGGTACATACATGGTCACACATTTGAATTGCAATTCCCTGAATGCAGAATGAAAACAGTTGAAAGATTGTCAACATTTAAAGTAGGCAAAAGAGTGGTACATCTGGGGAAATATTGTTTTGGGACCCACCATAAAGTAATTAAAGTAACTAACTATCAGGATTATTGTATTGATGTAGATGCATTTAGCACAGATCCCAGAGACATAGAACAGTCAGTAAATATTAGCTTCTGTTATTAAGTGCCCAATACAATGATCCAGTATTAGTGTCATCATGAAAATGACATCAGACTAGAAGAAAATTTTAATTTTTTTATTTATTGGAATAATAACAAGTCATAAGACAACCCTCCAAAAACTCTAAGTGCAATGGTACTTATTCTCACAATGAGTGAAAACAACTAATAGCGTTCACTGCATAGAAAATATCTCCCTTTTCTTAAACTAACAGATTATTATAATTTGGATTTACAAAAATACTGGGATCATTAATCAAAACCTCATCCATTATACAAAAGCGGAATGTTGTGGAGCATTTACCAGGCTGGAACTCATAATTGTTTCATATTATTTTAAACAAAGCTACTTATTTTATTCTGATAATAGCCCATGTAGACTCTAAAGGGATATCATACAGAATAAGCGAAGATACCAGAGTAGGTGATATCCTTGGAAAAATTAAAAGCTGTGCTCCCAGATACATTTAAAACTCTTTCAGTGTATGAATTGATTAGCCAACTACAAGTTGAATTTCAGTTTTTTGCCTTTGCCCCTAGCTGCACAATTATGGAAGAGAATAATATATAAAGTCTACAGAAATGCAAATTATCTTTAAGATGTTTTACAGAGATAAATGCCAAATTCATGTGTGAGAATAAGAAGACAGTGTGAAAGAAAATGAGAGACAGCGAGTGAGAGACAGAGTGGAAATACACGGCTGAATGAGTTCTGTAAGATGATACAGAACAAACTCTCTGCTTGTACAGACTCATAGATATATTTGAGTATAAATATGTCAAGCTATGTCTCACAATCTGGACCTCTACTCTCCGGCTTCTCATTTCTAAACCTGGGATGGACAAAACCCCGCATTTCTTGAACCGTTTCTATACCCTCAGAAACTCAGGAAATAAAAGCGGTGTCCTAACAGTATGGCAGCTCTCCAGCGTTGCTGTGTGCTGTCAGAATGATCCTTTGAAGGGGATTTTGAACTGCCTAAGTGTGAAGAAAGTGACCTGACAACTAGCATAAACACATCCACTTGCTGGTGTCTGCTCTTGATTGTGGGTGTAACGTGACGAGCTACTTACACTGCGGCTGCCTTGACTCTGCCACAGTGATGGACGTTAGCCTGGGATGGTGAACGGAAATAAGCCTTTTTTTCTCCCTGGAACTGCTTTGGTCTGGGAATTTTATCACAGCAATGGCAAATAAACTATTATTGTTTTTTTTTTTTTCACTGTTCTTCTGTGGCAAGCACTTTCTCCACGCTGACGTTTTTCTAGCCAAAGTTCATTATTTTCAAGGCTTTAATTATTAAGCCAGGAGCCAACAAAAGCAGAAATAAATGACTTTGTGAAAATTAAGTTATTTTAAGGAAGCAATACTAAGTAGTGTGCAGTAAATAGGATTTATTCTGTTTTTTAAAATGTATGGAAATAGCCTATTAATACCAAATAAAGAACTTGGTTAAATGTTTTTAGACACACCATTTTGTTAGTAATCCTTAATAATACTTAGTATTGACAGTAGCCTCTCACATTTTAAATTATTAAAAATACGGGAAGATATGTTTGTTTATTTTATTATATTCACTACCAGTAAAACAAATATCATAATATTGAACTTCTACAAGTGCACTTGTAAATAAATATAAAATTAGATGGAGATAGCACTATTTTATTGTCTAATAAAGATCTATATTTTTATTTGTGGGTATATATTCTTTATTCAATTTTACTAATAGAATAAAAATATAAACTGAAAACTTGCAAAGAAAAAACATTTAAAATTTTTTATCATTTTTATTATTGAAAGAGTTTTTCTCATACAATATACTCTGTGATGGTTGTCCCTCCCCAACTCCTCCCAGATCCTCCCCACCTCCCCACCCACTCAAATTTTCATTCTTTCTGGCTTTCTCTCATTCAAAAACAAAGAACAAAACAAAACAAAACCAACAGAACAAAACAACAGCAACAAAAAGCCAGGTGTCTAAAAAGGAAAAAGAAAAAAAAGAAATAAAATAAAAAATTTGAATGAGACAAAACAAACAAATGTACAGAAAAGCAGCGTGGCAAGAGAGAACACAAGACATACATAAGGACTTAGAGACCCATACATGGAAATCTCGTAAAGACAGAAAACAGTAAACCATAATATAGAAGCAAAAGGCCTGTAGGGTAAGAAAAGAAAAAGTAAAAAAAAAAAGCCCAACAAAGCATTATCAGACAATCAACTCTCCCAAAATACCATTTAGTTCATTGTGAGTTGGCCATCTACTGCTGGCCATGGATCTTGCCTTAAGAGTTGTTTGTATACTTGGTGAGACTCCACTGGAGAAAACTTTTTTTCATTTTTAATCAGTTATCAATTGGAAACAGCTTCCGGGAGAATTGCAGGGAAACGAGGCCTTCTGAACACTGTACAACTGAAGTACATATGAACAGGCGGGGCTGTGGCAACATGTATAAGGTCTGAACAGATCTGGGCCTAATGGGGTCCCAGCTCTTTCAATCTTAAGCCATGACTTTAAAAAAAGATTGCTATGAATCTTCACAAACATTCTAATTCAGTGGTGCCACTTAGGGGCAGGCACGATGCTTTCAGAAAGTGAATACGGGAAGAGTCTGAGGGGAAATTAATTCGTGTGTCCATCTGGGGTATTTACTTCATTTTTTAGCATTTCAAAGTTTAAGAGGAACTTGGCACCAATTCCAGTCTCAGGGGTGTGTTTTACTTATTTCTAGGACTGGTTTCCTGAGTAGCCATCTCACTATCCCTTAGTGGCTTCTCTTTGGTCTCCTGGTGACAGATTTGAACATCCAGGGACCAGAAAACGGGCCTCTGGCAACTCATTTTAATGGGCGTCATTCAGCAGCACAGACAGAATGTAATTGATTTTGTGACAGAGTTAATGAAAGCAACGTGTAACACAAGGGCCAGCATGTAAGCAATAGTGCACCTCCGAAGAGCAAAGTTTGGTGTGTTACCTCCTGATTAGCTGAAGCTAGTTCCTCTTCCAGTGCAGAGACTCTTTCTAAAGAAACCCTCAGTCGCTCCCTTACCTAGAAGAAAAATCAAAATACGTGCAGTAATGTACATCCCAAATATAGGAAACTGTGGTGAAGCCACCATTAACATAAGAGACGAACGGTCAAATTCTTCAAGCATTTGCAGCGCTAAGATCACCGACTCATAAACCTGTCACGAGCAACATGGAAACATTGTCACCTCAGAAGCCTCTTTGTATCAAGGGGGATTTCCTTATAGCAAATCCTTTTGTAGGTGAACTGATAATCTTCCAATGGAGTTGGAACCTGACTGGCCTTGCTCCAATTTCTGATTCATAGTAAGAAGAGACAAAGTTCAAAAGCATAACCATGATACCATCACAAAATGGTCAGTAATTAGCCAAGCAAAATAGGTAAAATACATCTTTAAAATAAGTGAATTTTATGTTGGCTTTTGGTGCCTAACTTCAAAGAGCTTTGTTTAAAAGCAAAGAGATCATGGAAAATGAAAATTTATTGAAATTTTTTTGAGTGACTACAAAGTGTTAATGACTTGGGAGCTCCCATCTTGTACCCACAAACCCTGGGGGAAAGGCATTGCATTTTGTAGGACTAAACACATTTCAGTTTGAAAGCAGTGACGTTTTAAAATTGTTTCCTATATAATTGAAATTCGCAGAACTGTTTCCTTGACTTATGCTTTCTGATAGCTTCTAAAATTGAAACCATGTGTGGTGGAACATGCCAGTCAATCCCCGATACTTCGAAGACTGAGGAGGAAGACTCTGAGCTGAAGGCCTGATTGAGATATATAATAAGTAACAGGCCAGCTTGGTCTACTTAGTAAATCCTGTGTCAAAAGAAAGCAAATATCCAACCAAATCAAAATGAAAAAAAAAAAAGTCCCCAATCATTGCATGCTTATACCAATATATTAACTTTATATTACATTTGCCAAAGGCAGACTACCCTGGGTAGATATTTACTTAATGACTGTAGTAGTTTAATTTACCTAAGAAGTCAATCAACTATAGATTTAAGACACAACTCATCACAAGTTTTTGATTATTTATAACAACATATTTTCTATATAAATTTCTCAATAAATATTCGTTTTAATACTATAGTTAAATCCATATAAACTAATTTGGTTATTTAATAGACTCCTTATTTTATCATGGCATTTTTCTTAAATAATAAGATTTAAATAGGAATATAAGTTAAATGTATAAATAATTGTATAAAATTTTAATGTTGGAATAATTGCCTTGTTAATTATCTAAGAAATAGAGTAAGCAATGTTTCTTTAATTTTAGGGCAAAATATGAATTTTAAAGGTATCAAGCATTCATTCTTTTAACATTCTTTTATAGCAGTGTGTACAGGCAGGTGACTGGGTGTACTTTACTGCTGAAGCATAGCCCAACTATAGTATTACATTCTAATTTTCTGTATACTATTAATACAAAATAGAATAATATTTAGCATTAAAAATCCTCTGCACAGAATCTCTACTTAGCTCTATATGATGGATTGCCATGACTTTGTGATTTAGACAAATATCAAATTATTTATAAGAACAACACTGAATTAAATTCTGATTAATAACTGAATAATACTCAGATGAAAATCTTTGCTTATTTGACTTGGAGGAGTGTACAATGTGGATATTTATGAAGGGTTCTGGTGACCCTGGATGATGAGACCAACCTGAAGATAGCTCAGTACAATCATTGATGTCCCTGTATACAATGCTGATTAGGGCACTCTCAGAATGCCACCGAGAGGTAAACATTAACTGAAATTAGAATGTTTCTAAATTAGTGTTGGAGTTGAATAAAAATTTCCTGAATTGGAGCTATAGGTTAAAATATCATTTCTGTTAACTTGAACATCTTAGAAAGTCTTAGCTACTAGTTCCTTTATGACAAGTTAAGCATTTCAAGAAATATAAGTCTTAAAGTCTATCAAGAAATATGAATAAAGAATCATATCTCCATAAATTTATAAAAATTTAACAAATAAGTATATATTAACCATAAATTAATGAATCTAAAACTATCTTTATATTAAAATAAACACATTTTAAAATACAGTTTTAATTAATACTATGCATGCAAAGATATTTTTGCAGCTATTATCAATAAAGAATACCACAATAATGTTGAATTATTCACTTTGCTTCTCCATTTTAGACAAAAATTTCAATTAATGATATGTTAGCTTTATTTACCAAACGTTGTAAGGAAAAGAAAGGAATGCAAGTATGGAACCTTTCCAGGGATAGGAATTTGACAAGTTTTCCTTATCTGGTTGGCTTTAGTTGTATCACAGGGAAAATCAATATGTATCAGAGAATTTTCAGCTCCTTGCTCTGCCTTGAACATTGTACTAGCAGAATATCATCATTGTTTTTAATAATTATTTTTTTATTGGATCACATGATGTGTGTTTAGGCAGATAGATTTGATATATCATGCAAAACAATAATTGTTTAAATTTTGTCCAAAGAAGTGCACGGTTGCAGTTGTTAATTGTTCGTTCCCTAACGCTTCTCTTTTCGTTGGCTTGAACTACTGCTGTCATGAATGTTTGCATTACATGTATTGTTTTTTGCACAGATACATGGTAGCCTCCAATCATATTATCTGTATCATCAAAAAATTATTTCTAAATTAATCTGTTACTTCTGTATTGTTCAAAAATGATACGCAAATGCCTAGTGAAATGTTTTCTTCAAAATATATTTCAAAGAGATGATAATTTTATCACAGAAGATTAAAGGAAAAGAAGTCCCTTAATATGACAAATGTATCGCCCAATGAAGAGGTTGATGGAAGAAGTAAACATTCCAAATTAAAATTAAGGTATTGCAAAGTTTCACTGTGGTAATTACTGATTCTATTACGGAAAATTTTGTGTGGAAACATTCTTATTCTAGATGTTCAAGTCAAGTTTGATTCTGTGATAACTGACCATGAAAATATAATTGGTAAACACGGCCTTACATATATATATATATATGTCAGTGGTTACTTAATGAATATCAATATTTAAAACTCCAAGCCATTATAATGGTCAATACCCATGCTCAAGTTTTTATAGTTCATTTGTTTTCTATGGTAAAGTTTTTCTTGAGGCATAATTGATTATATTCTCTTATCTTTTTACTCTAATTTTAAATCCATAGCCTTTAGGTTAAAATGCTAATTAGTTATTTATATACCTGTGTGTTTACTCCTCCCTATTGTCATAAGAAACTGAATTACTCCCAAGGAAATAGTTCATGAAGGCACTTGGGTACAAATTAGTTCCTCAGTAAATAAAGAAATGTTATTTAAAACAAGCATCTAAGCCAAGAGGGAGATTAATGTCTTAGTTTCAAACTTTTAACAAATGTTGACATTTTCAGATGATAATTAGAATATTCTTTGACATTAACTGAAAAGATATCCTTATATTAAGCAGTGGTTCAAAGGCTCAAAGCTTTGCATGTTTTATAATAGATGACCCTTCCAGCAGTTCTAGGTAGATGTGGTTATTATCCTCATCTGAAAAACGGAGTAGTTATATAGAGACATTAAGCCACTTGTACAGACCTGTCTACTTGAGAGGGGAATCTCAGCATTTTATAAGGATAAGTTCATAGGCACCAGTTCAGCTGCTTATGAACTTGCCAAGATCTGTGACACTTGTGGAACATTTATAAAAGCTATAATTATTTTTAGGGTTATATTAAGAAATATTTCATTTTTCTGTACTCAGTTGATGGGACTACTATATGATAATTGTTTTATATTGTTCTAAATGTACTCACAGAACTGGGTTGTCTTAAAAGCATTTATTAATTTTACTCTGATACCAAAAATCACTCACTTGATTAAGTGATGTCAGAGTTCTTACAGAGAAACATAAAAAAATTATACATTTTCTAATACATTTATCTAAGTTTTTCAATATAGTTGTTTCCTCTGGAAAAGCCATGCTGTTCTCACAAATCCAGGTCATTTTATATACTGGCTCAACTGGCTACGGTATCTGTCTCTGGCTTTTACTTATTCTTTAATATTTAGGTAAAATATGATTCATTTTTTAACTCCTTTGCCATTCCAATAAAATTAGACAGTACATTTGTGATAGCATGGGACATTGTTCACTTGTGTTTGTAAGTGTCTGTCACTGACGTGTGAATGCCTAGTACGCTGAACTCATTAGTCACTAGGGGAATGTCTTTGTATGGCAAATCTGACGCAAAAGCAAATAGTCAATAAATTCTTGCAGAATTTTGTCACTGAATTTTTATTACAAAATGAAATGTAATAGAAACTAAATAAGTATAATTATTTGCTGTTAGACTTAACATGGCTATTTATATGACATATTTTTTATCCTCTTCAAAGTTTTCATAGTTTTTGCCTCTCATAATCAAAATGAAAGTGGGATATAGCTTCTCCTTAATAATCTAGAAGACAGAATTAGTGTTATCCTTGTACAGCCAATTCACATAATCCTCTGTTCTAAGAACTATCTGAAAGACTGATGATAATAATATATAAGTACATAAATATTAAATGGAACTAAATTCTACATACTTAAAACTTAGATATAAACTGCAATAATCCCGAGTCTGAATTTTCGTGTTCAGAACTTGTCATATATTTTACATTCAAGTGCCCTAATTCTTGCTATGCTAAATCCTAAAACTTCTTAAATTTTGAAATCACTTCTTTGAACTTTTATAGAAGAGAAATTGTGTCATAAACCTTACCTAATCTCTAAAGGATATTTTCTCCAGATTGCCGTATATTTACCGTAGGACTTGTTTGCACAGAAGAAAGGGCTTACAGCTACTCTTGGAAACACCAAGAAATGAGTTTTCCTTCTAATATGTTATGTTGTTACCAGCAGCCACTGTCAACATGTGTATTTGAAACTAAGATGTTAGCAGACTCCCCCACAAGGGAGGCATCAAATATAGTTAAAACATGCCTGATTTGCACTTCAAAAATACATGTGGTTTTCAGTTACTACTCTGATAGTTTGGAATCTATGGCATCTATGGACATACACTCCAGAGAAAGGGAGATGGGGAGATGGTTGAGACAGAGACAGAGAGACTGAATAATACTGCACAGTACTAGATGTCAAATATGCCTCTGGACCCGGGGTATAAGGATGTAATAAGGTCTAATTCTGTAAAGTTGTACATTCAGTGGTATAAATAAAAGAACATGGTCATGAATCCTGTCCATCCACAGTCACTGAATTTTAAACAGTTTTTTTTTTTTTTTTTTTGCATAACTCAAACGTGTTCCTTTGACCTATACGACTTGTTGATTTGTGTGAAAATAAGGAGCTTCCAGCTAATAACAGAAGCACAGTGTGGCTTGAAAAAAAAAATAGTATCAGTACTGTACCTTTTCATCCAAGGCCTTGTGGTGCTCAAACAAAGATTTCAGTGCCTTGAGAACCTCCACCTCACTGGACACTCCTGAGGGAGACTGAGCTTGCCGCTTCACCACGGTCATTCTCAGTGACCTTTCATGTCGTGACACAAGGCACTCCAAGTGCTCCAGTAACAGCTGTGGGATCAACAGAAAACAAAGTTATCTTGTGAACACAGCTGATCAGCATATTTTTGTGAAATCTACCTTAAACTATTAAAAGTTTTTACAGCACCCATGATAACCCTAGGGGATACAACAGGACACAGAAAAGAAACACACCACATGGTTAACTCAGTATGTGTAAAACACATTAAATACAAAATGTCTTCAGTCACATAACAAATCACTGAATAATAAGTAATGAAATCCATTCTTACAGTGCAGTGGCTCTCAACCTTCCTAATGCTGCGACCCTGGAATTACAGTTCCTCATGTTGTGGTGACCCCCAAACATAAAATGATTTTTGTTGCTGCTTCATAACTGTCATGTTGCTATTGTTATAAATCATAATGCTAACATCTGTGTTATCTCGTGGTCTTAGGTGACCCCTTGTGAAAAGGTTGTTTGAACTTCAAATGGGGTAATGATACACAAGTTGAGAATGTCTGTTCTACCAAGTATGACAACTTAGTCTTGAAATCAGTGGGAATCAAAGACCAGAAAAAAAATGTGTATGGGTCAAGAAGATTGCTATTAGCATTTATTCCTTAAATAAATACAATTGCATTATAATTTCAATGTAATCTTTCATTAATTTTTTGAGAATTGTTTTCAGAATATGTCATGATGTTGGCTTTTATTTTAAGTAGTTGTGTTCTATTTGCTTGTTGTAGTGTAAACTGCATAAGAACGAGAGCCTTTTATGTATTAAGGTGGCAGTCTTTTGATCCTTTATGTACTTGAATAGTGTGTGGAAATACACAATGAATTTCTAAAGTGAAGTCATTTTCCCTGAATGTACACTGATGAGTGTCAATATTAAACATAGATTGTGGGTTCTTTGAATTACTTCTTAAAGGCTCAGACTAATTAATATGGTTATAAGCACATGCATGAGTGTTTCAGCTAGATGATGTTCATGAAAACCCAAACTTTATGATTAAAAATTTCCATACATGTAAATGGAGTTATGTAAATTCAATTAATAACTGTTAATCTTACATTGCCTGGTGCCAGTGTAGGATGAGAAGTGTATGGTATAATGTTAACTTTATGGAACATAATGAAGTATTATTCTACAACTAAAAACAGCTGTCTTTAGAAGCCTCCTAAATCTTATCACTCTATATTCTTTAGGAAAGTTTTTCACACTGCAAAGTCCACTTTCCCAACATAGAGCACACTCACAAAATCAAAGTAACAAACAAAGAAAACTATAATTTTCTGTCCCCTTTTCTTTTCTTTTTTTTTTAACCACACAGATTTTACTAATTATACATCCTGATAAGATAGAAGCCTTCTGAAGAGGTGTCTGAAAGCATCCTTTTTGATCCATGGGTACAGCAAAGGAATCCCAAGTCTCTATTGACCTTGAGAAACAATCAGTTTCCTCATCACCTTTTGCAGTGAGTTTCTGGACTTTAGTTCTGAAAACACAGACTATAGATATTATTTTCTTTAGCAATTCTACCAAAAAAAAAAAAAAAACCTAAGAATTCTTCCCACCTGCAAAAGGTAACTGTCTGTTTAAAGTAACTACAGTGAATTATGTTTTCTACAACTAAGAGCACAGTAGCACTCAAGTTATTTGGTTCTACTTACTACTTAACTTTCTTATAAAAATTGTCATATGCCATGAGCTGGTCACTTTCTTATTAAGTGTGTTAGCTTTCTGGTTCTTTCAGTTTCCTTCCAATATTACCCCATTTAAAATTCATGGCAAGGTCTATTATTATTCATTTAGATGACTTTCCCAATATTTCACCCTCTAAATTTCTAAATTTTGTCTATTCTAATAATCTAGATTTCTATTCTATCTAATTTTACTCACATCCCGTGATTTCACTATAGACGCTGCCATTACCAGTAAGTACAACTGTTTCATAGTTGTAGATCTATCCCATAAGCCAAAGATTATTATATTTCTAGCTTGCCTTTTTATATGCTTGACCTCAAAAAAAAAATACATTCACTCTCAAGTCCTTGTACCACAGGGATTTGTTATACCGTGCTCACACTCTGTATACCACAACTCACATCTTCCATTCTCCTTTGCATAATTATTTTTTTTTTTATGTCTGCCAGCCTCCAGAATTCAGCTACCTGCCAATATATTCACTGACGCCACATGGGCTCAGGATTCATTATCTCCTCCTGAATTAGTGCAGTAACAGCTTGTTAGCTGGGTCACACATTTGTATCATTTCATCCATCGGGGTGCCACCCAAAACTCTAAGATTTAGAATACAACCTAGGGCCTTCGAGCCTGTGCTCGAGTCCTTAATGTCTTCTCATTCGGCCAAAGCAAAAGCCAGAGTCATTCCGTGTCCGAAGTGAAATCTAAATTATTGGAACTCACCTCTTTTTCTCACTCATCACCTGCATTGGTTTTGTTATAGCATCTGTGCATGGAGTTTTGCTTAGCTTTGTGAAATAGCAGATATCTGTTTAACTGCACCAGGCTTTTGTAGTAAGTACTTTATTTTCTTTTTTAACTGACAACGCTCCCTTTAAGTCACCTGCATGTCCTTAACACTCTGCAATCTCTGACTTATTGCCAGTTGTGTCACTTCTTCAACTGCTTTTTCAAGTCCTTGTGCTGCTGCTTCTTTCTCTACATGGCATCAGTCCCTCTCTGCCTTTTCCATCCAGTTTTACTATAGTCATTCACTGCCTCCCAAATATTAATATCAGGCCTCTAAGGAAAGGAAGATGCCCTCTCCTCTTCTCACTTCTAAATCTTTGTGCTCACAAGATTGTATACCGGTCATGTTCACTCATATTTGTTGAACGAAAAATAAACAGTTTATTAAAGTCACCACTTATAGATTTATAAGAATACCTCTTAAAATAAATGGGTGTTTGAGATGTATGTTCTGGATAGATTTTGCTAAAGTAAGTATCTGATTAATTACTTAAGAAAGTAAAATCTTCCATGGTGTATGGAGGAAAGATTGTTATGTAAACAATCAACTGCCCATGATTCATTCAAGTGGTGATCTGGGAAAGCAAGACATTGTTGAGTTGAGTCATTGCTGTGATCAGATAGTTTGAAAATCATGAAGAATACAAGCGCAGTGAGTTATGCTTGATGCTTTCAATCACACTGAAGAAATTAAAAATTAATAACAAATAGAAGTGATTAACTTTCCAAATTCTAGTGCTGGGGTCATTCAAAGATCCACTTGTTATTTAAAAGAAAGACAACAGTTTCATGTATTAGAGGTTACTACATTATAGCACATTATAAACTCACAGTTGTAACAAATGTCTTGCATGGAAATGCTCCCATAATAATCCAAAAAGGCAATAGAAACTGGCAAAGAGACATTTGAGAAGTTTCACATGTGCTAACCACATATCACATTGCTATACCTGTCTCTCTGATGAGGTCAGTCCCATTTGTTTTAATCTATCTTGCATAAATTTCACTGAAAGTGGAAGTCTCATCAAGGAAATCTGTGCTTATCATGCCCTGCTCTAAAAATCCCTTCTTCATTTCAAAATTTTAACTAGAATATGAGGTGATACAGATCAAACTTTAAGAAGAGAAGGCCTCCAAGATTTTTTCTTTAAGTGTGATTTTTTTTTTCTTTTAAATTTGGAATCTCAGAATCCTGGGAATACATGGGAAAAGAAGCCAATAGAAATAGTTAGGAAAAAAATGGGATTAAATGTTTGGTCTGATTGTTTCCTTATTCACTACTTCTAGCAGGCATCCAGTAATACATGGGCACAGCATTTTTAGTATCTGTGATTGACTACTATATGTACTGCCTGGGCTGTATAGGACTCTTCTGCTACCTTTTAAAACTATCAGCACTGTAAAAATCAAGTCTATTAAAAAATGGAGGGGGACCCAAGATGTCTGGTACTCTGAAGGTGGCAGAAGAGTGTGCCAAAAATGGAAAATGTCATCAGAGGAAGACAAGATTGCTGTGGGATGTTCTGTATGGCAAATGTGTTGCTGATTAGTCAATAAATAAAACACTGATTGGCCATTGGCCAGGCAGGAAGTGTAGGCGGGACAAGGAGGAGAATAAAGCTGGGAAGTAGAAGGCTGAGTGAGAAAGACACTGCCAGCTGCCGCCATGACGAACAGCATGTGAAGATGCCGGTAAGCCATGAGCCATGTGGCAATGTATAGATTTATGGAAATGGAATAATTTAAGCTGTAAGAACAGTTAGCAAGAAGCCTGCCATGGCCATACAGTTTGTAACCAATGTAAGTCTCTGTGTTTACTTGGTCGGGTCTGAGTGGCTGTGGGACTGGCGGGTGATAGAGATTTGTCCTGACTGTGGGCCAGGCAGGAAAACTCTAGCTACACAAGATAACAGGGTCACTCTCATGCTAAAGACAACAAAGCTACCACACCTACAGCAAAGAAACTCACCTGAGACAACAAACATGGCTGCCACAATGTCCCAAATGACAGTCATCTCAGCTAACGTAGCATCAGTTCCTGGAGTTTTAAAAGAGGGGACCACACTAATTAAAACATTAAGTAGTGATTCCTGGTACAGCTGGACTCGGCACTCTGGTTAAGTGGGCAAAGGATGCTCATTACAAGCAGGAAATTCGCGAGGAAGACCACGATCATGAGAGAGTGGAAGAAGAACAAAGGGAGAGTGACTTTGAGTGAACAGATGAACGCAGCAGCCCCCCGCCCTTCCCTCGCCTCAGAAGTCAGCCCCTGATGATGACAGAGCTGACCTGGGAAATGTGACACAGAAAAAAAGTTTTGTAAGATCACAGAAGCCAAAGGAAAGGAAGGTCATGCAAAGGGTATTCCTGTGAATGCTGAAAGCAGAGGTGAAAAGGAGAACAGGCAATAAAAAGCTGAGAACAGAGTCAGAGTTCCAAGGACAGAGGAAGACAAGGAAGTCAGGAGGGTGAAGAGGGAAAGAGCAAGATGCAGGAACGCTTCACAAAGGAAATGAGCAGCCAGAACGTGGTTCCGTGAACCCGGAAATC